GAACATTTGTGTACCAGCTCACATTTTCATGTTTTTATTGAATTCACTGTTTCTTCTTAGTTTTATCAGTTATGTACGTTATGGTTTTAAGTTACATCTAATGTTGAATTAATGTTTATTGCATTATTTTAGTACCATGACAGTGTTTTATATTTGGATGTATGACACCATGCACCACATATTATGTTATATTTTATTTTATTTTTTATTGTACATAGAAAAAAAAAACTAATATTTTCCCAGGAGAATTAAAAAATGATCCTTAATGTAATTTCTGAGTAAAAATAGATTGATTGAATCATGTGGCTTTTTCTCCACCACCTGTTTGTAAGGAGTATATCAGTATATTTTAAATGTTTATACTGTAAATTTAGGATTTTAACAGTAAATTAACTGTAAATCAATCTGTAAAATGCTACCTTTTTAACAGTAAAGTTCTAGTAACCAAAGCTGCCACTTTTTTTTACTGTAAATTTCACTGATCTTCTAATAGTGTACTTTCTGAAGATGCATTTACATTTATGGTTGTGCAGTGAAATTATGTGGGCAATATCTAGTCAGTTTGAAAAAGTTTATCATGCAAATGTCATTAATTTTCAAGTCATTTTCAATAATTTTCTGTATTGACCATCAGAAAGCTGCTTGGTTCGAAAGTGACTTCTGAGCTACTCTACTGTCAATAGACAATGGACTTTTTTTCACTGTGAAATATTGCTAATGTGACAGCACAGACACAATTATTCTGTCAATTATTTCAATCAAGTTGCCTCCATAATCACCATTTTAGAGTGTCATTTCTACACTCTTGACGTGAAGTCTGTTTAAAAGGATCGGACATGACAATGACGATTTTCATTTTTGGCTGAATTGTTCCTTTACAACATAGTGTCATTTGCACCAATATCAAAACAACCTCTCATTCCATGGGTCCCTTTCCCAAACACACTGGGGTTTCAACCGACATTGACCTTGTGGCCGTTCCAGACAAAGAGAAGGAACTTCCAAGTAAACAGCCCTAGCAAGAAAACGGAGGTGGAACACTCTGAATCAGAGAGAGCCTGTTTGTCTTAACACATGACAAGTTCAGATTTCGCCTGCTGCATCTGAGCTGGATATCAGCCTGGCTGGAGCTGAGAGGTGAGGAGGATCTGTTTAATTAGGCCTGGCTGTCAGAGAAGAAATCACTTTAATAAGTTATTTAACATCCAGCACTGCCAGGAGAATTACAGTAAGCCCGCTCCTCGTGACCGGCAGGAATCAGAAGTACCGCTGGAGGATGTGAACGGCACCACGGTGTGATTTAAGAGTTCTGGTTCCACTGTTTCAGGCTCACTGGTTTGGATCAGTGCCGATTCCCAATGACTGTGCAGTTTGTTTACGTGCGAGTACAGTTCACATCTGAAGTCTAAGGTCAAACAAACATGTAGACCTTAGTGAGGAACTTAAAAAAAAAAAAAAAAGAGCCATGGGGCAGCAATTTCCTTCCAGCGTCATCCCATTAGAACCCAAAGCTCTCCCTCTCCGTGTCATGTGAATCGGTTAAACTGTTTGTGTGGAATCACATGTGGGCCAGGCAGGTGATGGCCGTGATCCGACACAGCGGAGCACAGCCGGAACATCCATATGGCCCCGGGGCACCGCCCCACCCCTGCTCTGACGCACTTCCACAGCAGGGCCTAATAGTAAACACTTCAGAGGCCCCGTGAAGAAAAACACTGTTTGGCTCTGTGAAACCGGGCTGTCCCATTGGACGGCGTGCTGTATGTTACCTGCTCTTTAAGCTCAGACAGCTGGGAAGACAGCTGAGCCACGAGACCGACAGTGGTGTCCAGCCTCTCCTGCAGCGATCGGATCTCATTCTGTTCGCTCTCGCCCTCAGAGCTTACCAAGGACATGGCCCTCATCCGTGGAAACCAGTCCAGATTCTTCTCCTGAAGGAAAAAAAGAGATGTGAATGTCTCTGGGAAAACTTCCCAAACATTTATAAATGAAATAGCATTTAACTATTTTGCAGTAGACATCTTTCAGACACTGGATTTTACAAATTTACATTACCATTCAATTCAGTAAACTTTTATAATTAAAAAAAAAAAGAAATTAATCCCTTTCTTTAGCAAGCATGTAAGTTGATCAAAAGTGACAGTATGCTGTTCCTTTGAACTTTATATTCATTGAAGACTCCTGAAAAAATTATCAGTTTCCACTTCTACTTAATATTTTAAGCAACAGGAACTGTGATTAAGCAACAGCTGTTTTCAGCATTGATAAGAAATGTTTCTTGAGCAGAATGATTTCTGAAGGATCATGTGACACTGCGTTTCCATTAGCCTTCAAATTGTGCAAATTGAAATTGCGAATTGAAAATTTGTCTAATGGAAACACATCAATTTAGCAAAAATTCGAAGAATGAATATAAATTGCAAAACTGCAATGGAATTTTTTTTTCACATTTACAGGTCACCTGCCATATGCAAAAGTCACATGATCATTCTTTAATGCACTATAACCTCCAAGAAACACCTCGTACGTGGCCGCTCTCAAGTATAAAGCACTTTCCTTGCCATTAATGCTGGGATAACCCCTTTTTTACACTGCGTTATGGCTCTGGTACAGCCACTGGCCACTCTAGTCAATGCTTGTGTTTATACCAGCTGCGCTGCGGCATGTTTCAGAAGCGTTCCAGAAGCAGCTCTCCGCACTGCTTCGCTAAAGATACATGCCTATGTCTACTTTGATTAAAAATAATAGCTAGTGCGGTGGCTGCAATATACGTAAACCTACGAACATCCATCTCCATGATTTTCACTAGAGGAAAAAATTACGTTTTAGTCACTTAACATGGGTTAATGGAAATTCGCAATAGGTTTTTAATCGACATTTATAAAATATCGCAAAAGTTTTGCACAAATCTGTAATGGAAACCCAACTACTAAAGACTGGAGTAATGGATGCTGAATATTCAGTTTTTTTTTGTTTTTTTTATTAATAGAAAAAATATTTTCAGAACCAATAATACTGAAAAAGTGATATTTTTTCATGATGGAATAATGACTTAAAAAACGACAAAACTACAAAACAATAACAGTCTTCAGAAAAACTGAGACTTAGAGATTATACATAATAACAGGAATGATTGAAATTACGAGTAATTGTCTTCAAAATCATTGCTGAATGTGATGAATGAGTTACAAAAGCGGGTTTAATGGCTCTAGGATTTAACGACACTACTTATTGAAGGATGTTTTACCCTGCTGACAGTCTCACACTCTACAGTGCAAGTGAAGCAGCAGAGTTTTGTTGCATAACAGTTGCAGTTAAAGTCTGTAGTACACTAAAGCACAGCATGTTGCCACCAACCTTCCGGTCTCTCTATTGAAACCAACACGGAAGTGACTTAAACTGCAATTCATCGACTGGCCGCTATAGACTGGCTCCAAAAGGAAGTCAGTCCCATAGACTCCCCATGTTAAAATGCCCAACTTTACAGCAGAAAAAAAATTTGTTTACAGCCTGGTACAAAAAGTGGTTTTGGTCTATATAGCAAATGTTGCCCTTTATGACAACTGTGAGGGGGGTGATTTTTTTTTTTATAACTCATCCATTTAAATTATATTAAGCCTTAAAGTTCAGCAAAATTAGGGGCGTGGCCACTTGAGTGACAGGTGGATTGCCGCTGCTGTGTCACCACCGTCGCGCGAGGCGGGTGTGGTTTCAGCAACCAGCTCCACCCACCTCCCGCCTTTTTGCCCATTTTCGATTACTCGGGAGTGACGCGCAGCCAAGATGGCGACGGCCGTCTCCACACACTTTGAGCTTCAAAAATGCTCTTCAGAAACCTATGGGTGACGTCACGGACACTACGTCCATGTTTTT